TGTAACTTATAAAAAAAAACCTTCGCAGATAAGGACACAGGTTCCTCAACGTTTCAAGTTGCATTTGCTAGTAATTTTTGCTGTTTCCAATTATCCTTAATAACAGCCTAACCATTTCTATGGGAAAGGAGTAAGATGGGAGGAGTGCCTAGAAAGCTTCATTACCATAAATTCGCAATATTGGTTGCTGTTACATCATCCCATAGCGGCAGCTTCGAAATATAATTTGAAAAAAGAATTGATATCTAACAAGAAGGAAAAATACCATTAGGAGGAAGTGAGTAGTTGCTCATACGTTTTTCTAACTCCCAACTATAAGAGATTGACTTTGGAGCTCTTCAGCTGAATCGCTAATTGAGGGCAGGAGTTTCATCGACGAGTGTATGCACTGAGACTATGGCGGAATCAATACGAAAGCTGTCCCTCATTGGCCCCAAGCCATTTCCTTCTTCTCTTAAGACCAGCTCTCTTGTTTCGTGGTATTTTAATTTTCATGTGGTCTTAAAATGCTGTTTTATTTCTTCTTACATTGTTTGCATTAACTCCTGACTTTCTTATTTCTTCTACAATTTACTTTTACAAACGAAATATCTGCTCTAGGCGACACTCTCTTGAGTTAGCTTATTGGTATGGTTTTAGAATCTCGGTAAGGACAGAATAAACTTGATAAACTAGTGTTCGTAACTTGCTTAATCAGCCTTCATACTTTATAAAAGATGCGTATTGTGCCAGGTTTCTCTTCTTCACCGCAGTTATTCAACTGGTATCCTCTTAGAAACGTATATTTGTGATGTAGCTATCTTTCCACTTATTTAATTTTTATAAATTTTCAATCTAGCTGATATATCTTCCATAGTCTCCATGACTACCAGTTCGAAAATCCATGATTTCAAGCTCAAAGAAGGTATCAATCGAAGAGTTTAACCAGCTACAGGAGAAGGTATTCCCTCTATGTCGTTTTATATCAGTTTTTTTTCTTCTTTGGAATTTACCAAAGTAACAGCTACCTGGTAGGACAATCTTCAAGATTAATGCAGATGATTTCTCTAAAGCCAAGAAAAACTCTATTTGCTGCAGATAAGGCAATACGAAATAAACAAGTTTTTTTCAAAACACGTGGTTTGAAGCACTAACGCCCTTGTTCAGCTACGCAACAATCAAAGGCTCGCCTAACAAGAGAGTTGTAAAATATACAATTCTATGGAAACATTCCCGAAATTTTTTCTTATAATTTTTCTTGTAATAGAATAGTCCACTAAAATGCTATACTTTTGCACTTCTTAACTCTCGCTGGCCTCAAACAGCTTACTAAGACGATTTGTCAACTGAAAATCGCTGTCTGCATGACTCTCGCGATTGATTATCTCATCATTTGGGGTGCAAAAATGCACTTTTAAGGAGTCGTTTACGTTAAATAGGGGCAATGCGGGTCAGTTCTAGGAGATGAGATCTCAAAAAG